ATCATCATCGGGACACCATCCACGTCATCATCATCAACATCATCATCATCGGGGCACCATCATCATCACCGACATCATCATCAACAGCATCATCACCAACCTACTAATCATCATCGTCATCATCATCATCATCGGGACACCATCATCATCATCAGCATCATCATCATCGTTATCATCATCTCATCATCTCACCATCATCAACAACAGGATCACCAACATCATCGTCATCATCATTGGGACACCATCATCACCATCATCATCAGCAGCAGCAAGATCAGCATCATTAACACCATCATCACCGGGACACCATCATCATCACCACCATGGCCATCATTATCATCATCATCATCATCATCATCATCATCATCATCAACATCAACATCGTCATCATCATCGTCATCATCATCACCATCATCATCATCATCATCATCATCGGGACACCAGCGGGACACTGGCGGGACACCGCGCGGCACCGGTTGCCGGAAGGGAGACTTTTAGTCCGGCCGCGCCTCAGCCAGAGGCGTGACATTTCTCGCCTGCCCACGCAGCTTCGCCTCGCCCGCACGCACGGCACGCACGAACAAGAAACCGAAACCGATTTCCCGGTAGGGGAGCTCTCCGTTCCACTTCGATCTCACCCCCTCACCTCCGATATATGAAGAGCGCGAGAGAGAGAGAGAGAAAGAGAGACAAAGCGAAAACACATATCATGGGTTGCATATATGTGTGCAAGACTGCATTGGCGCTGCGCGCCATGCACTTTGGTCCGTCAGGTTCGGCATGCAGGCAGGTTTGGCAATCAGGCAAAACGGAACATTTAGCGATAGATCGTTGTTGCATGTTTGGCATCGTCTTGGTATTTGTTTTATTCGCTATCCTTCCTTCATGTTTCCTCTTTCTCTCCCTCATTCTCGCCCTGCCCTGTGAGTTCGCCCCCATCCTCAGCTCTTCGTGCGGATGCTTATCATTCGAGAGCCTCTTGTAAGCCCCACGAAGGTTTTTAAGGGCTTGTTATGTGGTCAACTCGGGGAACTGTAGAACGTCTTCGGATTAGTTGTTCTTTGACGAGCGCTTGCGGTTCCGATGGGGCCAGCGGTCTCACTCGCGCGCCCATGGTTTCACGGAGGTCGGCGACCCCGAACCCTGATTTACATGCCCGTGGCCCAGATGGGGCTACACGGCCACTACGTGCCACTCAATGTTAATTCTCGGAACCACTACGGGCCACGAAGTGCCACTGCATGGTAATTTTCGGAACCACTAACGGGCACTAAGTGCCATTAAGTGGTAAATCTCGGGCTACTAAGTGCTGCAAACTTATAATTTAATTCTCGGAGCCACTAACGGCCATCAGGTGGCACCAAATGGTTATTCTCGGAGCCATCAGCGACCACTAAGTTTCATTAAATGGTACTCCTCGGAGCCAGCAGCGGCCGCTAGGTGCGACGAAATGGTAATTATCGCGGCCGCTGAAGGCCACTAATTGCCACTAAACGGCCACTGCAGGCCGCTAAGCGGCCACTAAGTGCCACTAAATGGTAATTCTCGGCGGTCGCGATGGTCAGTCCGAAGTCCCCCAGAAAGCCCACATACAGCTTGTTGGGGCCTTCTGGAAGCCTCCCAGGTTCCTTCCGTGTGCCTTCCCCAGGCCACCCTGCTTCCAACCGCGGTCTCCCTAAACGAACGGGGCACGACTTGGAATGATTCGTGAGGCGTTTTGGGGCCATCTTGGGCCGTCATGGGGCTCTCCTCGGGCCATTTGTGGGCCTGGTGGGCCGTCCTCCTGGACTGCCTGACAGCCCTATTGTTCAAGCTTGTGCGATGATCTGGCCTCCTGAGCGACCTCGGTCGCCCGCAAGACCGAAGCACTGAGCATTCCTAAAATCATGCAAGACCATCGGATCTGACTTTTTTGTTGCGTTTGACATGCCTCTTGGAGGTCTTCTTTCGGTCGTTCCTAGGCCATTGGTGGGTATCTGCCGTCCGGCCGCCCTCCTGACCGATCTGGGCCTGTTGCATGGGCCCAGGACGGGCTTCAGGAGCCCCGGAAAGCACAGTGGACCGTCTGAGAGGGCGTCCAGGGTGCCCCCGGGGGCAAGGATCCAGAGGGGTTCTGTTTAGGAGGGGGGGAGTGCAGGATCCCAGATAATATAAATCAAGAATGAAACATACAAAAAACATTCACATGTATGTATACACCCATATATACTCTATCGGTATATTCATGTATGTATGTCTGTCTGTCTGTCTGTCTGTCTGTCTGTATGTATGTATGTATCTATGTATCTATGTATCTATGTATATATGTATATATGTATTTATGTATCTATGTATGTATGTATGTATGTATGGATGTATGTATGTATGTATGTATGTATATAAATATACACATATATATACATATATAAATGTATATATATATATATATACACACTACCCCCGTGCACGAGGCCCGGTGGCCTGGGACCGCGACCTCGACAGGGCATGGGGGGACGGGGCGTCGTTCTCCCTGTGTTTTTTTGTTGGGTTTCGGCGGCCCGGGGCCAACAGGGCCCCCAGAGGCTGCAGACGCCTTTCAAGACGACTCCCATGACGCCAAGAAAGCCCCCGAGAGCCCCGAAGACGCCCCAAGGGCACCCCGAGAGAGGCCCAGTAAGCAAAAATCGTCGATTTCCGATTGGGAAACTGAATTTTTGGGCGTGTTTGCCTTTTCGGCGTCCACTGCATCAAAGACGGCCCAAGAGGCACCCAAGCCGGTCGAGGATGCCCCCAAGAGGGCCCTAAAGCGGCCCACGAGGGGGCAGAGATGGCCCATTAGGCGCCCAAGCCGCCCAAGAACTCCCCAAGGCGGCGCCCAAGACGGGGACGAGGAACCGGAAATTCTGGCTTTTCGGCACAAGAGACCCCCAGGAGACCCCAAGAGGCTCCAAGAAGGGCCAGGGCATGGGAGGACCAGGGAGGGCCTCCAGGCCCCCCCCGAAACGCTACCCCAGGGTCCAAGGAGGTCTCCAAACGTCCAAGAGAACCCAGAATCCCCGAATCGTTGCTCCAAGACGCCGAAGATGGCTCCCAGACGGCCTCTGGGAGCCCCCACGACGGCCCAAGAGTCCCCCAAGGGGTCGGCGGATTTGCGCGCTATATTGTTGTTTGAAAGTTCCGTGCGGGACATCTTCGCAAGTGTTAGAACCGGACACGCCCCTCGCGACGTCATTGTCATTTAGCTAGATGGTTTTCAACATGTTCGCCAGCGATGCTCAAACTCACAATGACCTTACAACACTTCGTATATATTAACTAGAAGGCATGGTTGTGTTGTTATGCTACTCTCCACACGTCACCCTGATCGCAAGCTGTGGCAACCCCGTCGGTGATTGGCGCCCTCCTTCCCAATTGCACTCGCTTTCCATGCGGTGTCTCCCATCGGTGACCCTTTTATTCCTGAACAGAGCTTGCACTTAGGGGTTCTTACTGGATGGACCCGGCGAGGATCTTCCACGTTGCCACTCGTGGCCGCCTCGTGTCCGCCTCGTGCGTTGGGTGGGCCCGGCTAGGTATCGCCACGTTGCCGCCCGTGGCCGCCCCGTGGCCCCCACGTGCGCGGGGAGGTTCCGGCGAGGTTTCGCCACGTTGCCGCCCGCCTCGCAGACGCTCGCAGGCGCTCCGTGCCCTTGGTGGGTCCGCCGAGGTTTCGCCTGGTGCTCGTCCGTGGGTGCCTCCTGGGCGCCCCGTGTCCTGGGTGGGTAACGTAGTCCACACAACATAGATTACCGGCACAGCTTGCACAACATAGCTCACACTACACAGGTCTCATCGCATCAGTTACACGGTGCAGCTCACACCACGTCGTTTACAATAGATCTTATCTTGTAGCTTAATTCTATTGCTGAGGCCACATAACCTACTCCGCATAGCCTTCGTTTCAACGGTGCAATGACTCATTAGGTGGGTTCCTCGCTGGCTACCCTCTTCTGTTCAAGTTCAAGTGCACTCGCCATGGGACGCCGCCCTAATCGCAAGCCGTGGTGACCCAGCGGCGACCCCCGCTTTAAATTGCAATCGTTATCGCAGCCCCCGCTGCGTGAGTTTACATTATGCAGCTGGTTTTGTATGAGCGTTGTCTCGCACGTGCCACTTTTGCCCATGTATGTATACACATGTATGTATACAGATCGCACAGATGCACAGGAAAATATATCTATATATATATATATATATTGGGTGTATATATATGTATGTAACTATCAATATATATATATATATATATATATATGTACAGAGGGTCTGGGCCCCTAAGAGACTCCTCGGGAGTCAGGACTGATGTTCGGGGGATCAGGCGAAGAACCTGAGGACGCGCCCACTCCGTGCTTAGCGGCACTGCGGCGGACGTTTCATTGCAACGCTTTCGAGCATGGTGCAACGCCAGCGCTCTTCAACCTGGTTTGCCGGCAACCCCCTTGGCCGAATCCTGGCTCTTCGATCTCAGCTCTCCTTGCCTCAACGCTGTTCCACAACAGCTTTGGCCCAAGCGAAGCTGACTGCAGCGACGGGAACGGCGCGGCTGCAACCAGACGGCCCCCGCCAGGTCGCCCCGCGAGCACGATGGCCCTCATCTCGAAGGTCCTTGCCATTGCCTCATTGCTCTACCTCGCCAGCTCTGTTACATGGATCCCTGTTGGCCCTGAAGGCAGCCAGTGCGTGGTCGAGGACGATTGTGGTGCGGGAGGAGCAGAAGAACAACAAACGGCATAAACATAACAACCTTCGGAGGTCCGCGCGAGTTTTTGTCGGATCGGCGCTGGGGCCCTCCGGCGGCGCCCGCGCGCCAGGGAGGCGGGTCAGCGCGGATCCGAGAAATCCGCGCGGAGTTCCGGAAGCTGTATGTTTATGCCGCTTAGTGGTTTCTCTGATGAGGCATCGGTGCTGCTGGTGATGACCCGAATGCTATTTGCCCCGACAACAAGGATTGTTTCTCGAGGATCTCCGATGCCGTCACCAGCCTCATGAACGACGATGGGGGATCCAACCCGGTGGACCCTGACAGCCTCTGCGCGCAGTCGCTGCAGGTGGTAATGGCGGACTGTGCGGAATGCTGGCGCTGCAACAAACCACTTTCTGGCAATGTACGCCTCGATGCCCTGCCCGAGGCTCAGACGAGGACCAGGTATCGATGCCGCTGGCGCTGGAGCCGATCGCCCCAGAGATCCCTCGTCGCCACGGCTGGACTCTCCTCGGACTTCAGGTCAGAACGTGCCTTGGGAGAGGTCCGAGCAGCAGCGGTGGCGGTACCTGTTGGCATCCCCAATGATGGTCCTTCGATTTCCCCCTTTGGACTCGCTGGGCGGCAGATGCCGCGCAGCGTTTGCCGCCGGCGCGGCCGCAGTGGCGTCCGTCGTCGAGGTCGCAGCGGCGGCCTCGGCGGTCGCCGCGGCGCGGGCGGTTCGGAAGGTGGAGGTCGAGAGGGTAGCGGTTCTTTCTTGTCCCCCCAGAGGCCCTGCCAGGGACCGCGGCGGGCCCTCCCGTGGTGGTGGCGGCCGCGGCGGTCGCCTCGCTCGCGGCGGCGCTGGCGGGGGCGGTGGCGTGGCGCGGCCGGCGCGCTGCGCCTGCAGTGGCGCGCAGCGCGTTGGTGGCGGAGGGGCAGGGCGAGGATCGGAGGAGGAGAAGGTACCGATGCCGCCACCCTTGCCTCGCTTTTGCCTGTTTCGTGCTTCCTGGGAGGCCCTCGTCGCCACCGCTGGGTTCGCCTCGGGCTCCTGGTCAGGACGCGCCCCGGGAGAGGTCCGGGCAGCAGCGGTATCGGCACTGCGCCGATCCCCCAGAGGACGCGCCGATGGTGGAGGGCGGCAGCGGGGCAGCGTCGGCCCCCTGAGGGCGGGAGGAGCGCGAGAACTGCGCCGGGTGATTCCCACCGGAAAACGCGCATTTTTACGATAGGTATCGCTTCGGCGTCGACCACGTCGAAGACGGCCCCAGGAGCCGACCAGATCGCCCCAAGACGGCCAAAGAGAGTTCCAAGAGGCCTCCAAGGCGGCTCAAGAGGGGCCCTCGACTGTCCAGGGGGCCCCCAAGACACTCCCAGGGGGCCTCGGGGCAGCTTCCCCACACAGCCCCGAGGGGTACCCCACCCGACATTTCGAGCCATCCTCCCCAAAAAGCACCCCGGAGACCCCAAGAAATCTTCAAGAGCCCCCGAAACAAAAACCCAAGCGGGCCCCACGGGCCCGCCAGGAAGCCCCAAGAGGCTCCCAAGAACCCCCTCCCCAGACCCCCTGGCCGATCCCGAAGCTTCCGGACAACTCTCGGCATCCTGACGCGGGCCCCAGGACCGTCAAACATTTGGGACGAAACTCCAGGCCTATGGAAATTGCCCGGACCTCGGGGCCACTCCAGGGGTCGTCGACATCGTCGTCGTGGTGGTGGCGGTCGTCGTCGTCATGATCGTCGTCGTCGTCGTCATCGTCGTCGTCGTCGTCGTCGTCACTCGTCGCCGCCCTTGTCGTCGTCGTCGACGTCGTCGTCGTCGATGATCACACGAGCGAAAACGAGAGCAGCAAAACGTGGCGCAGACGTGACTAGAGCCTAAGCGCGCGAAGCGCGCGTGGTTCTCTCTCGTTCTCTCTCTAACTCCCTCTCTCTCTCTCTCTTTCTCTCTCTCTCTCTGTAGATATATACATATATATATACATGTATGTATACACCTAGACATACATACAAGTGGCACGTGTGTGCCCAGGCTCATACAAAAAGCTGAAAGGTCGTGTGGAGGGACAGAGAAGGACGAGAAGAGGAGGAGGAGGAGGAGTATAGCTGCTGGGAGTGAAGTGCAATAGCGGGGTCGCACTCGAGCGCAAGCGATGTGTGTACCACAGGCCCCCAGGAAACCACAGGAGGTCCGACCAGGATGCCAGAAAATATCCCAGGAGGCCCCTGGAGGGGTCGTCTGCGCTCGAAGTTGCGAGGATGTCCGTGGCTGCCGCAAGAGGCTCCAGGAGGCCCGACCAATGGGGTACCAGAAGGTACGTCGGCTCTCGATTTTCGGAGGGCGTCTCAGGCGAAACCGCCATTCTTTGAGAATCGGGGTCGAAACCATTGAAATTACATTGTGGTTTTGAAGGTTTGATGTTAGAATGTTGAAATTCCCATGTGTTTTTGGATCCTGACGTCACGACCTGTCTGAGGGGTGTCACCGATTTTCAGAATTTCGGGGATGTCCCTGGCGAAACGGACAGACAAATCGTGGACGCGGCGCGACCTTCAATTCATCGCCTCTGAGCTCTACGCTCTGGGAGAAGTGCGTATGAGAACACACATCTATAATCTATACATATGTTTATAATCGTGATGACATTCGCGTTCGCAACGACATTTCTGTTTGCACGAAGGTAGTCGCATTTCTCACGGCTACAATGCTAGCAATGTTTTCGGTTTCAAAGGCGATCGTTGTGTGGATGTGTAGCATGTGATGGTATCACTTCATCCATAAAAAAGGCGGCGTTCGGCGAAGCATGGTCTAACATGGGTTGGTTCAAGGTCCTGGTTTTTGTCTGGTCGTTGGCCCAATTACGTATGGCGGGGGCTCTGTGGCCATGTCTCAATTACCAGCAAACAATTGATTCAGAAGACGATGGTGAGTAGGAAGTACTGGCGGAGGAACTCGAATTCAAAGCGCTGGCGGTGCGCTCCTTCGGAGCACATGCTCGTAGGTGGGAATGAGATGGTCGACGGAGGAGACAGGAAGAGGAGGGCGAGGAGCGCAGGTGGTTCAAATGTACCCGTTATCTTGTTCTCCTCGTGAGACGGTTTCGCTACCGGTGCTAGGTCAGGTAAAAAGATTGTCCAACCTTGAAGGGGTGCAGCAGGGAGTTGTGTTGCGAGTTGCGCAAGCTAAAGAGTTATCTAGTCCCTGGGATTGACTTCCATTTAAAATGAGCAAGCAAGCACTCTGTAGAGGTTGGGGTAGACTTGGATGAGTGAATCAAGAGGAGGAGATGAAGAACCTCAGGTCTTAATACCTGTTGCCTGTTTCTAAGTTGCAGCACGGTTTAATTTTTCCATCTTGCTGCACGAGCGTTGCGCGACCGCGACGCACCATCCCCGTGCGTGAGGTCGTGTGCGCGCGCGGCCGGCCCATCCGCACTCTGAGGCTGGACCTTGGCCTCGAGGCGGACAGGGTCAAGATCAATACCTCTCTCCTTCTCCCTTCATCTTGCCCCCTCCTCAAGGGTAAACGCTGTTGTATCTCCCAGCAGCCGTGTCCAGGGGGATGGATGTTGGCGAAGAGGGGGCTGGCCGGGGGAGGCGAGTGCAAGGGCGGGCTGCCCTTGCATGTCCCGACTGTCCGAGACGAGGGCCGGACACCCAACCGGAAGCCTTTCGTGGCAAGCAGCGGGAATTTGGCAAACGGCTGCATTCCGCTGCCATCCACAGGACTTGCATTCAGCAGTGCCACGCCGTGGAGAGAGAGAGAGAGAGGCTCCTGGGGTCCATCCTGGCCCGTTTTCCGATCCTCGTCCAGCCTTGGCGACGTGGGCGGCCGTCGTCGGCCTAAAAGAATGGCGCCTGCCGGCGCTTCCAGGCCCTCGGGAAAAAGGTCTCGCCGCGAGCCGGGGGCGCCCACGATCCCCGCGAGCAGGAGGCCTGCAGCCCGTCGAGGCAATGTTCCGTCTCGCCATGTAGAGGCTTCCTGTCCGTGGCCACACGATGGATTGGACCCGACCCGCATGCTTCGGGCCGGGCGAAATGGGGGGGATTGGGAAAGGGGGGGTTGCGAAATTTGCTGCATGCAGCTGGTTTCGGCCCCACCGAGGGGCCCACTCCTCGATACATAGCTCCATCCGGCCAGCTACGTGAGCTGATTCTCAACCCCCCCCTTTGCTATCCCCCCCTTTCGCCCGGCCCGACTGCTGCCCCAGGTTGTCCGGACTCCCTTCGGGTCTGGGGATTTTTGGTTTCTTACACGCTTGCGAGGGAGTCCGAACTGACAAGGTCTCCTGGTGGGCCTGGTCTGGTCCGTCTGGTAGCTGCCAGTGCGGAGGACCCGAGGGCACTCTACTCAGCGCCTGCGGCACGGGGGCGGGTTCACGCTTCTGGGCCCCCTCCTCACCCATCCTGGCCCGTTCTCCGAGCCGCGCCCAGCCATGGCGACGACATAGGGCCCCGCAGGCCGAAAACGAGCAGGTGCATGGACCGCGCTCCCCGAAGGCGGCGAGAGGCGCACTGACACTGTCCAGTCACTCCTTGCCAGCCTGAAGCACATCCCCATCCCTACAGTTGGCATGACCCCATCAGTAGTGCTGACGTCAAGGGCCCCCCTGCAGCTTCTGAGAGCACATCTCCAACACTGTCGTCGCCTTTGGCTTGCCAATCCTGGGATCGGGCCGTGCTGACGCGTCCAGAGACCCCAGAAACGCACAAAACGCCCCAAACGTGCAATCGTCCGATCACGTCCACTGACGACGACTACCGCCGCTACGACCATCACGACGACCACCACGAGGATCATCACGACGGCGGTGGCGGCTGCGGCGGCGGCGGCCGCGGGGGCGGCGGCGGCGGCGGCCTGGCGGCCCGGACCCTCTTTGGCCCTCTTGGGCCACCGTGGCGGCCACGGCATTTGCGCAGTCTGGGAAACACTCGCAGTGTTCCGACGCGTCGGGCGTCACGGTTCCGCGGCCGCGCACGGAACTCGCGGCCGTCCCTTAGAAGGCCCAGCACCTCCACGCGCCAAAAGCGGCTCCTGCTTGGGAGACCTCTCGTTTGGTAGCTTGGGGTTCGTGGAGTCGCGCAAGGTCCGCTGGCAACGATTGCGCAGTTGGCTAGAACCTAAGCGCGCGTAGCACGCATGGTTCATACATATATAGATATGTATGTATGTATGTATGTATGTATGTATGTATGTATGTATGTATATGTATATATATATATGTATATGTTTATTTATGTGTAAATGTATATGTGTATGTGTATATATACATATACGTAAGGGTGTCACTCGCTTCCGCGGGCCCTCCTCTTTATCATCATGGGATATATCAGAGTTGCGTCGGTGCGTCTCGGCGCTGCATTGGCGCATCTGGGAACATGCGGGGGCAGAAAGGAATCATCAGTGCAGATTAAGACGTTGGCGTTATCGAAGACGGCTACGGCGAATCACCGCCCCCGCCTGCAATTTGAAATCGGCCATGTGGCCGAGCGTTGTAGCAAGAGGTGTGCAAGTTATCGGACCATGCGTCCCCCCAGCCGTTGTGGAAAATAGTCGGGGAACACTTTGGGAAGGATGGCGGGGAAGATCAGGAGGAGAAGGACCCGTGCAAACTCAAAAGTCATCAACGATGTTGAACTGAACCGTCCTTCCAAGCTCCCTCTTCGTAGGCCCCTACAATGGTTCATTTCCATTGAGGGAATTGCCTCGTTGGAAGACATCCGTTTGAAGACTTTCAAGCATGCCAGAACTTTGCGCTCGGGATGTCCACGCCACGGATCAACCTGACTGCTGCGTCCTGACGATCTGGAATCGCCGCAGAAGACCAGTTTTGGGAGTTCAGCACCGCGAGCCAACATAACTGTTGCATCCGCACACTCATGAATCATTCCACAGCATCATATCTGGAACGCTGACCATGGGAATCCGTGGAACTCTTGCACATGTTTAAAACATAATAATGTGCGCGGCGCTCAGGCGAGAGCCACATTTTGAAAACGGCCCGCCCTCCATCCGTGAAGCTGTCGCATTTTTTTTAGTGCGCGGCGCCCAGGCGAGAGCCACATTTTGAAAACGACCCGCCCTCAATCCGTGATGCTCTTGCACATTTGAAAAACGAACGTGCGCGGCGCTCAGGCAAGAGCCACATTTTGGAAAGAAAAAGCCCT